TTATAACATGCTTTAAGGCACTCAGACAAATAAACAGTAATGTGATGATGGTCAGGACAATGACTGTGCCGAGCAGGTGCTTTATTAATGGTACCCTTCGAAAACCACAGACATATCCAAAAACCAGAAGTTCAGGGCCAGGCACAATTCAAATACTGTATGTAGGCAAGAAGAGAACCAAGAGCATGATGAGGGTATAAGATAGACAACAAATCAGGAAATACCATAAACTAGACTAGAGGAAAATTCACATATTTTCAAACCCGCTTATTCTTCTGGGTCACGGGGGGAGCTGGAGCCTATCCCTGCAGTGATTGGGTGGAAAGCAGGAAACACCCTGGACAGGTCGCCAGTCCATCACAAAGCAGGCAGACAGACATATACATTCACACACACATTCACACCTAGGGGCAATTTAGCATGTTCAATTAGCCTGACTGCATGTGTTTAGACTGTGAGAGGAAACCCACGCAGACATGGGGAGAACATGCAAACTCCACACAGAAAGGACCCTGGTAAGTTATTCAGCCCTGGACTTTTGTCTAGATCAGCCCACTACAACCACAGTAAATCACCCCCTTCCCCATCACGACCCCCAAAAATCATGTCTTTTGGAGGTTTCCTCTCTGTCTTTCTCTAGCTAGCCTTCATGGTTTAACTTTCCCAGTTGTTATCATTATGCTTTGTTCTGGGTGCAACAGCATTTGTATGACTGGTCAATGGTCACACACTGAGAATGCAGCGGACTGCTAATGTGTCTACTCCAGTATCTGCCATTTGTCCGGGGTGGTCTCTATCCATTTTACATGGGATTATATCAGAAACAACCATGCATTTCTCTCTTTCTCACTCTCTCAGCGGCCCACCCACACAGCAATTGTTCTGGCCCTCCTGATGGTCAGTCCATCCCTGAATGTGACTACTAATCACAAAGGGGGTATACAGAATGTAAAATGTGGGTCCAGCGCAGAACTGGAACTAAAAATGACCAAACCTGAACAGATTAGTTCAACTGGTGTCTCCCACAAAGGGGGGGAGTTACATCCTTGAGTGCTTGGAGAATGAACATAAAGAAAATGAGGAGATATGGGCTTACAGTTTTCTCCCCTGCTGCCCTCCACCATCGGTCAAATGCCTCCTTCCTCAGGCTGCTTGGCACGTGAGGGGCTTGATTGACAGGCATGATGTCCTTGCCCTTCTGTATGTGTCTTCCAGAGAGCCGATGGGAAGGAGGGGGCATCCTGTCTCAGTGATGAGAGATGCAATGACAGCAGAGGCACCAAGCAACCACACAGCCAACCAGGCTACATTCACACCCTTTATTATTCAAGACAGGTGACAAGAGACAGTGAAAATTTAATCACAGCCCTTCAATTATTGAACACGAACTAACTTGATGAAGGTGAGACACTCCCTGTACCCTTCAATATGAGCTCTGCAATTACATATTAGACTATAGGGTTATCTGTTTCTCTGTAACTTCATTATCTCACATGTCCCACCACATATGAAGAGATATGCAGTGATTAAAGTGGTCTTATTATCTATAAAATCTGACTGCAGGATTTGCCATGCTGTCTATAGACGCAATATGCACCATTACTGTCTTATTAAAACAAACCATATCACTTTTTAGATCATTTTAAAACAAAAGCAGCTGTTTGCAGTGTGTGAACGTTTCATGAAGAATGGATCAATAGAAGCGATCCGCAATTATGCCAATAAAATCATTACATTATATACATTAAAATGTATTTTCCTTGTCTTCCTTGAAATGTTACCAGTTTTGTTCAGACAGCAATTGTGTATGTTTTCTGAAATATCACATTTTTTGCTATTATTGAATGTCATGCAGGCTACATGTCCAAGACTATCCAGACAACCATTCACGTGAATGAATTTAGCTATTTTATGGTGCGTCCATTGCTGACACAGATGTTCAGCTGTGAAGCTTGTATAATCTCCATAGAAAAGCATTACGAATAGAATGGGATGCTATGGAGTAGCCACCCATGAGCCTTAGGTCACCATGCCCAGTGCCAAGCATCAGCTGGAGGTGTTCTCTGGACTGATGGAGCACCAGCTAACAGCTCAAGGATGAGTTTGTGACCCAGAACTAATCATCCAACATCAGTACCTGACCTCACTTGACGCTCTTGTGTCTGAAAGCAATCAAACCCTCGCAGCAATGTTCTGACATCTAGTGTAAAGTCATTCCAGAAGAGTAGAGGCTGTTACTGCAGCACAGGGGGGATGAACTCTATACTAACACTCTTGATTTCAGAAGAAATGTGATATCAGCAGGTGTCTACAAACTTTTGGACAAACAAAGTATTAAGAATGGTGGTTATCTAACAAATGTAGAAACACGTAATTGAGTTACCTTATCTCCTGTGCACATGCATGTTTGTCTTTGCTGAAATCTTCATGCATATCATACACACCAGCCCAGACATGTCATTGACTGCTGATGGAGTTAACAGATCAGTTCATTCACTTGTGACCCCTGCAAGGCCTGGAGCCATCTCAATCTCTCTCTCTTTCTCTCTCTCTTTCTAATGTACACTCCGCCACCATCCTTCCTCTCCAAGTAACAGGGTTTTCACATCTTACCATGATCACATTAATTCTGCCAGTGTTTTCTTACTCTCTGGTAATCCCCCACTAATCCATGGAGTTTGGTCATGCGAGATTTAATCCCTTCATGCCCCAGGGGGAAGAGAGAGGTGCTGGAGGAATGACGACCTCTCCCTCACTGCTCCTTTCGCTCTCAGACAAAAGATGAGGTCTGTCCCATCCAGCCTGTCAATCACTCTTGAGCCTCTGTATGTCAGCCACTTCCTGCAGTAATCAAATGATGCTCAGTGTAATTTCTCCATCTGTCTGGCTTTTGAAGTAGTCTACACTCTGTGACTTCCACAGCCTTCACCTTTAGCTCTCATCCCTGAGCCAGAAAAGAATTCATTCTTCTTTTGGCTTTAGCATCGACCTGTCTTCTATCAAACAGGGACAAAGCAACATAATGTCCATAACAGCAGTTAGTGTTGCAGGGGCCTGGCCTCATGATATGGATCTACATTAAGATTAGTATTTGCATTTTTGATAATACAGGAGTAGATCTGAGGGGAGGCCAGTCTTTAAGCAGCATCTAAATGTTACCTGGAAGATACAAGCCTCGTTTTTTTTCTTTTTCTTGCCCCCGCTGCCAGCCCACTCATCAAACAATGTGCTCTTTTTATTCAAATGCAGAATTACCCCTAATAACACACATTACCTTCATTCCTGCTGCTTGCTTTTGCTCGAATTTCTGTGTGAGAAGAGTGCTCAGACTGCCGAAGAGCTGGCCATAATTGGAGCTGTCAGGATCGGAGAAGAGATACACGAGACATTGAGTCCACAAAAGCCAGATACAATGAGTCACACACACTCACCCACACAAAAGAGTTTGATTAATGAGAAGCGGCCTGGTCTGCTGTAACTAGTCAGGAGCTTTTTCCGCACTTGACAGAAACCCCAGCTTAATTACACAACCCAACTTCCATGCACATCATGGGTTGTAAGAATCAAAATTAAATTCCACCCTTACAAGAGAAGAGTTCATCTCGTAACAGGTTTTGTATTTGCATAAGACCTGATTTTCTTTTCTCTAGGTGTAGATTCTTACAGGTCCATAAACGGTCATGGTACATTAAATATAACAGTATTTGTATGTGTTCTGATTATACGGGATATTAAGTTACACTTTAAGCAAAGATAATGATGTAAATATTTACACTCTGTGCATTTTTAACAGATAATATATAACATAAAACTGCTGGTAGTTTTTAGTTTATTATTTAAAGCTGTGCACAGCAGTTCTCTGTTTTTCACAATATATTAATGTCCTGTATATATGTGTCTATATGATATGCTATGTATATGCTATGCCCTTTCTAAGAAATATGCTTATGCTGCTGAATCTCTGCAAAGTATCTAAATTATGCTATTTATTTTCTGTCCTGCCTCATTTCTGTAGCAAAGCCAGCTCATAGTTTATGTTCAACCAGCACCTTGCTGGCTTGAGGTGTAGGTATTTAATTTCATACCCTTTTTTTATGGCCCCTTTAAGCTGTTAAGTTAGGCAATTTATTAAGTTGCTGTTGAGCAGAGAAACCAGCTGATGGCACTCTTAAGTGGACAGTCACTGTAGGTCTTCCAGTTAATTCTGCTTAAAGTCAAGGTTAGGAAAGACTTCTGCATGTTTGTTATATTATTGTAAAGGGATAATTGACTTTTACAGACTTCCCCAAACAAAGTAGCTTACACCATTTCATCATCTCATTAGTTAACTGCACAATGAGCTAGCAAATCAGATTTTATTAGAAATGTTTAAATGTTCATTTGTTCATTTATTTATTGACTTTTTAGCCTGCTCCAGTAACAACATAGGTTGTTATAAACTAGGTTTGAGTGCTTTCTGAGACTAAACTAATTTAGACTATAAACTAGTGTTAACTGTCTGTTGTGTGTGAACTAGTTATAACTTTTTGTCATGTCTAAACTAGTTACAAACTGGTTGTTATGTCTAAACTAGTTTTAACTGGTTGTCATGTCTAAACTGGTTTTAACTGACTGTTATATCTAAACTGGTTTTAAATCGTTGTTATATCCAAACTACTTTAAACTAAATGTTATGTTTAAACTAATTTTAACTGGTGGTTATGTCTGGTAGTCATTCGTAAACTAGTTTTAACTGACTGTTATGACTATGGTTTTAAATGGTTGTTATGTCCAAACTAGATTCAACTGGTTGTCAATTCTAAACTAGTTTTAACTGGTTGTTATGTATAAATTAGTCCTAACTAACAGATCCTAATCAGTGTACTGGAATAAGAAACGCAGCGCTCCTGTTGTTTCCACTCCGTGTTTTTCCTCTCGCCCAGCGAATCCAGAATCCCACGCATCTGTTTTTCCAGCTCCTGGTTTTTCGCGGGTCAATACCTACTACAGCACGGCGCGCCGTCTCCTCGCACACACACACACACACACACCCGGTCTCCCTCTGTAGTGTTTCAATGCTCTTCAGTAGCTGGGTGAGTGAGCTGGCCTGCCCGCGCCGCTCCGCTGTTAGAGTCGCCCTTACAGCCGCCGCGCTGTAGCTGTGAGTAGTTCCGGCTCGTGTGCGGTTCTCCAGCGGCGATGGATTGACTTCATGCCTCCTCCTCCAGCCCCTCCAGCCAAGTTGGAGAAAACAACTGGAGCCTTCTTCTTCCTCGCCGTCGCCGCACGCCGGAGAGCTCAATGTGTCTCCCGGGGGAGCCTCACACCTCTCCGGGATTGTGCCGCTGCCAACATTTCGCTGTGAAATTCGTTCACCGGGTCTGAGAGCTGAACTTAGAGCCGAGGAGGCGCGCGGTGGATAACTCGGACCGTTTTTCTCCGGCTTGTTTTGGACTTTTCCTTCTGAAAGTGATGGCGGAGCGGGGAGCGCGGTGGCTCCTGTTTTTCTCCACTCTCACCTCCAGCCTTGTGGCTGCAGATAAAGCGGATAAAGGTAAGTTTCACTCCCTCTCTCTTTCTTTCCCCCTTTATCTCCCTCTTTTTTTCCTTTCTCTCAGTCGTTTTCCCCAGTGGCTGAGGGTATATTAAAGTACTTGATCACTTCCAGTCTTTCCCTCTAGTTACCGTTTCCGCTCAGGAATGCTGCAGTCTCGAGCCTGTCCGCACCTAATGCATCACACCGGCCGGTGGATCTCAGCGCAGTGCCATTCATGTTTTAGTAGCTAATAATTGCGGTCGAGTTCTGCCATCTTAATGTGCTGGTCGGTTCAAGTCGTCAACCAGAAACCATTTGACATTCCTGTGATGCATAGAAGGAAAGGCGCTGATAGAGGAGAAGAGCAGAGCACCCATGAGCACTGCTTTACACAGGAACCGGGTCTAGTGTGGTGTTCCTCTGGTTCATATGCTCTGTTATGTGCAGTGGACAGCTGAAAGGCTGCTGAGCAGAAATTAGAAATGAGAATCTCACATGTTGTGACTGACTGATGATGCTGGTCAGTGTTGAACCACTGAGCTGATGGTTGATGTGGTGTAATAAACACAGGAGACAGGTAAGGGCTACTTCATGGCAGTGATTAGGTTGTTGAGAAATGGATTTTCCATTTGTCAGAAGTTTGATCCTGAATCCTGAACTCCTCCTGAGGGGATATCTGTTAATATCAGCTTTTCGGTTTGTGGGAGATTTGACAGGTTGGCTTTGCTGAGTGATTGAGCTCCTTAAAAGCAAACTCTGGATGATGCAGAGGTGAGAAAACCTGTGTGTGCTGGTTCGAAATGGGGTTTCGTGCATGTGGCAAGAAATTAGAGATGAAAGCTTTGAGTTACTAACTAAAGACTTCCCTTCTGAAAATAAGTTCATTTTTTTTAACACACTTTTTTTCTGAACTTTAAGTCTTGCAGATGTGAATTTTAAGCCACACGTCTCAAAGAAAGAAGTGTCAGATCAGTTGATGCTCAGTTTCTATTTAGCTAATTTCCTTGTCTGTAGCTTGATGTAACTCTCAATGGCCAAGCACACTGTGTTTGATCTTCTGTGACCCCTATTTGGTAGGTGCTTCGTATTTGTCCTGCTCTTTTACTATAAGATTGCTCGTTTATTTCGAAGATTGACAGCATTCATTATACGATGCCCTGGATAAGTAAGTATTTTAGTGAATGTCTGCTCTGACTGCCACTCAACAGTTCATACTGGTGGTCTGTTTCAAGGTGTATGGCAGTTATACATGCCTAAAGAACGCATGCTGGTTAGAAATTTTGGCAGTGTGGGCTGCAGTATCCAATTTATGTCGTCACATTCATGACTGAGGCGTCATAAAAGTCTCAGTGTTCTGATTTGCAAACCTGAAGCAGCCTGTCATCTCTCGTTTCTCTCAGAGAATGGCAGAATCTGGTCACTTTATCATTAAAATGCCTTGGCTTAATTGCTTGTGGCACAGCAGGTAATGAGCAGAAATGGAGACATCTGTAGCTATCTCAGCCTTCGCGCTAGAGCTCGGTGTGGGGGTAGGGGGGCTCTGATCTTGAAAGCGAGCTTAATCCTCATCAGTGTCAGTAAAAATGATTGACTGGCATTTTACTGCAACCTTTTACCCCCCCCTCTCGCTGTTAGCAGGATATCACTGCAGCGATCTTATTCACTGAACCCAAGGGGAAATTAGTGTGTCCTCGCGTGCATGGGCATACACGCATACACACACACACACAGTCTGCTGCTCCTTTGCATTGTGCTGTGGTCTGTCTGCCTGCAGCTGGCCCGGAGCGCACACACACACCCCAACACATCCTATCTGTGAGCTCTTGTCTAAGTGTGAATGGCAACAGGCAGCAGGGTGTCTGCAGGCCTCTCTCAGCTGTTGCACTGCTCCAGCTCCTGATCACACTGCTTTGTTAACTCTGCCCATGGAATGAAGCCATCTATCTCCCCCCAGCTGCCCCTCATCCTATCCTATATACTGAGACATGGATTAATCACCCTGGCTAATTAAACCCCTGTGTAGAGATATAGACATAGACGGTGAAGAGTATTCATTAAAGCCCTCATTTGAGGCTTGGTTCAGTCATTCATTGAGTGCCACTCATTCTGCTGTGGGGAATGGAATAGGCATAATTTCTTGGCATGCTCTGCTTCAGTGGAAAGGAATTGTGCCTGTAGTGGTCTTATCAGTGATCAGATTGGTCCTTGTTTGCAATCACTCACAAGCATCTTCATTTTCGCCTATTATTTCAGTGTTTCTGAGCAGAAGCAAATGTTCTGAGAACACAGTGGCCAAAATTAGACCTAGGACCCTTTTTTTTGGTTTCGTCTTTGACCATAAAATGCATGTTTTTGCTGTTTTGCGCAACCCCATTTAGTTGGATGAATATTTTTGAACTCATGTTGACGAGGCATTCTATAAGCCAAGTTGCGTGGCAGTGCAACACACTGAAATGCTGTGGCTTTGGCTTCAGAAGCCACTGAGACTAGTAAATTTGTGAATTTGGGCAAGATGGAAAATTCCAGTCTGAGTTGGGTCTCATGTTGCTGTTTGTAGTGGCAGAGTGTGTTTGAATCTGTGAATGCATCTTTGACTAGCCAGCCCCTAGGTGTGTGGCTTTGGCTGGTGGAAGGGTCACCAGCATCCAAAGGCCAGGGCCACTCCTGGTTTCTCCGAGCCTCCCTGGTGAATAGAAAGCCTAGCTGATTATTAGTGCTTGTTCAACACCTCTGTTGACTTATTGAACTTGCCTGCGAAGACACAGGAAGAAGTAGAAGTGGGGTTAAAGGCTAGAACTTCACTTTAACTTTGTCAACACAGCTTTTGCTGACAGCAGCCTGGCATACTAGTGTTCTCAGAATGAAAAAGTGAGTATATAAGGGGGTGGTGAGCGTAGTTATGTATGGGAATTGAAGCTGAAGGCCTTGACAGCCATTTGTGAGAAATTGAATGTGCCAAACTTGGCTGCCTTTCAGTCAACATAGGGCTGCCTAGAACTTGGAATGCAATTGTTTTCGACTGTTTAATGTTGGGCACGGGGCATGGTTGCGCGATTTTAATATATATGAACTCCCTTGACTCTGCACTTGAGGAAATCAACAGCTAGCAAAGCGAATATACAGTGATGGACTGGCAAATATTTTAGTGGAATCTGAAAGTGTTTCACATTCATTCAATTAACATGACATTGATGTGCACTTACATCTTCTTGATGGTCTTATCTGTTCTAAATACTAGTTTATGGGTGAGATGAGGTACTTGCACAACTCGTTCAGCAACTGTCAGTGTTTTCCCTTAGGATTGTTTTCAAGGTTGCCATGAATAATTAAAATAAAACAGCTGTCCTTAACAGAGTGGTTAATTGGTTGCATTTGGTTTGGCTGTGCCTTCTCCCACCTACAGACCTGCAGTCAGATTCAACTCCCATCCTCTGCTGGATCTTTTCCATATCACAAAATACTTCAGACATGCTATATAGAACAGTGCTCCCACTCACTCTGAATGATGTAAGGGTTACAATGAGGAAGGTGCAGATTTAGGTTTTAAAATGTTGTTGTGTTTGGTGCCCAAGAGTGGTAAAGCTGTTTTTGGATGATGTTTGACAGGAGGATTTGCTTTTTTCTTAAAACAGTTCTAGCTCTGTGGGCCTATGCCAGCAGCCCACGTGTGCAAGGATATTCTGACTGTGGGTATTTTGTTTTCTTACCTGGAGACCTTAACTTCAGTAATCTATTTACAGGCCTGACCACAACCTACATTAATGAATGCCCTAATTGATGGCCAGTTTTGTGCTTCATGGATCAACATAATGAAACTCATAAGATGTTTCAGGTTTGAAATGTCATGCTAGTGCCTTAATCTTACATGTGCCTTGTGGAGCATTTAAAGCACTCCGGCACGTCGACAGTGAGGAAAGCAACCTGCCCCTTCAGCTGGTCGCATGTGCGTGTCTGCGTGCGAGTTCCCTGAGAAATCCAATTGAAATGTAGTCTTGCTAAGTCGATATATAAGTAATGCTTCTTTTGTTTTTTAGTGATCAGAAAGTCAACGTAATAAGCATCATTAAACTAATATTTTTCAAAACGTTAATAAGATTAAACTTAGAAAGATTAGGATTTAGATTGTTACTCACCGCTTGCAGTCAACATCAGTCATTTTGGTTTGTTATCAACCAACCGATCGTTTTTTGCTCAGATTTAAAATTTTGGAGGTAGACAGTTGTGTTTAAATATATTAGCTTTTGCCAGTGTCTTCAATGTCACACATGAATGTTTGAAAAATGGAGCCAATGTTTCTTACCTTGAGCTGCAGACACAAATCATGCAAACACCAGCTGCCTCCTCATTGGGTAGACGCATCACATTGGCCAGATTTATTTGTGCAATGCATGCACTGCGCAGCCATGTGTGGCAAATCTGAGGCTTCCTGTTGAAAACAAATGGAAAATGTTGCAGACAAATGTCCATCCACCTAACATGAGTGATGCATTTAAAAGCCCTTCAGTACATTGCTGCTCCATACAGTCCACAGCAGCCATAAAAGACAGCCAGGCTTGGAGATGGCTTGTGAATGATAAACTGGCCTTTTCTTCTCATTAGTTTTATGGAGTAGCAGCTCTGTCTCTTCAGGGCAAGCACTGGCCTGAGCTAGCCCTCTGCTGGATCGTCCATTGATTCGCTGGAGAGCCAGGAACAGACGCCCTTAAAACCCACAAGGCCGACATGCCGCGAAACTGACTAGTTTCTGCATGAGGTCCTAGAGCAACTGTGCTTTGGTTTGCTTTGAACATCAGGATCTACAGCAGCACCAGTTTTCTTTAGAGATGTTTCAAGATGTTTCCAAGGGAATGGACTGCAGGAGACTGACCTTTGAGTGAATGAATTGTGAAGTGTCAGGCAATTATGGCATCTTCTGATACTTATGATTGACTTTCTCTGTCCTCCGACCTTCTCATCCCCTGAGCAAGCCAGGGGAGTTCGTGGATTAAATTAGCAGTGAACCCTGTGTGAACTTTTCA